TTAACACTGAGCATCTCCGTCACAGTTTCCATCCCAGACCCCCAGAATAGCAGGAGGGGGCTTAGGGAGCCCTACTCTCTTGAATACCATCAATAAAGTTCATTGCACCCCTCAAAAAATATTCTTTGAAAATTTCACACAGTTATCACGTTTATTCCCATCCTCCACTTCTCCCAGATTGCCCCTCCCTCAAGATTCCCCCTTTTCATTTTGAATCTATGTGCCTCTGTCTACAGTTCATGCCTGACTGAACCAGCTATGGCTTAAAGAATGATGCTGGGTGCATGTGGTGAGCATCTGGAGCAACATTCTGCCACATTTCTTAGATATTGACAGGAAATTTCTGTCTTTCCCTTATCACGTGTTTTCTGTCACAATACAACCTAGACCATACATCAAGGTAAAAGTGAGAACATTTGAGGGAAGAAGGGAAAGCCAAGGGTGTGAAAAGAAGGTAATAGAGAAAAAAAAGATAGGTGTCATATGTTGTTGGATGTGAGGAATCAACCTTCCACTGTAAATGTGATAAGGGTGTGTATGCAGGACCTGGAAGTACAAGGGATCCTTTCTATATGGATGAAGGGGACTCAATGGACAGGGAACAGCAGAGGGTAATGGGGGTCAATGTGAGCAAAGTATAATACACCATTGTGAAAATGTCATTAGGCCCATTATTTTGTGTGAAATCATAAAAAAATAATAGAAGTGTATTTAGCATTTCACCATGAAACATTTCCTCTATGGTTTGTTTTTTGCTTTTTGTTTCTTTACAGATAGATATTATGGGATTGAGAATATTCCCCTATGTTCCTAAATTAGCATACCTTCTTTTTTGATGTTTTTATCACTGGAGTTTTCAGATTATCACATCCCCTTTCCGGCACACATCTTAGTGACCACTCTTCTGTTATCCCACTAATACAGTAAAATTCATTCATGGATTTCTTTTCCTGCCCTTTCTTTTTATATACAGTCTTACTCTGTAGGAGACAAAGTGCTGGAATTCACAGTGTCGCCCAGTCTGGCCTCCAACCTATGGTGTTCCACTTGCTACAGCTTCCTGTGTGCTAATAATATTATAGGAATGCACCTCCAGGCTAGCTTTATTTGTGGTATTTAAGTGTCAAACTAGGGACTGGAGTGATGGCTCAGTAGTTATGGGCACTTGTTACTCCAGCAGAGAATCTGGGTTCAACTCCCAGAACCCACAAAGTGGCTCATGACCACCTGGAACTCCACTTCTAGGGAATCTGGTGTCCTCATCTGACCTCCGAGGACACCAGGCAAATGGTGCGCATATGTACAGGCAGGTATAATACGCACACACACATAAATAAATAAACCTAAGAAAAATTAATAGTAAAATGGTCTTGCATTCCTAGAGTAAAGTGTACTTGTTAATGAATGTTTTTCCATACACTGATTCAAACTGCTAACATTTCATGAGAGGTTTGCATCTATGTTCATGAGAAATACTTGTCTGTAATACTTCTTGTGCTGCTTTATATTTTTAATAGTTTTATTACATCTTTGAGAATTTCATATAATGTGTTTTGATCACATTTACCCTCAACTCCTCCCCTTAACACTTCCCAAGCCCACCCCTACCTCCCCAACTCTTACCTTTTATTCTGTTAGAGTTTTTATTAATATATATGTACATGGGGCCTTTTGCATGTGTCTGCTGGTATCCAAGAAGGCCAGAAGAAGATGTTGGATCCCCTGTAGCTGGAGTTAGAGATTATGAACAATTTCCTGTTGTGAATGCTTGGATTTGAACTTGGGTCTTCTACAAAAGCAGTACACACTCATAACTGCTGAGCCATCTCTCTAGTACTATTTTTTGGTTTGTTTGTTTTCATAACCCATTGGCTCCAGTTTGGGCTCTCCCAATACTTCTGGCGATGAGGCCATCTACCCGAGCTTGGTCACCTTACCAGTAGCCACAGCCTTAAAAGAAATCGTGACTCTTCCTTCCCCAGAAGACATCAACACCTCCATAACACCTCAGTTACAGGTGGGCCCTCAAGAACCCCTTCCTGCTTCATAGTCGAATGTTGACTTTTTTTGGTGCAGGTCTTGGGTGGGCAGCCACAGCTGCTGTGAGTTCATGGACGCAGTAGTCCTGGCGTCTCCTGACGACATTATCTCATTCTTGTCCTCCTCTACCACTGAGTCTTATGTTTCCTCCCCCTCTTCCAGGGATAGCCTTGGGGGTGTGTATGACATAGATGTCCCATTTGTGACTTAGCATCCCATAATCACTTGTTCTCCACACCGTGAATGGTTACAGGTTTCTTAGTTAATTGGCATTCACTGTTCAAACACAGACACTTCTCTGACAGGGTCTGGGAGATACACTAGTCTATGGGTTGAAATATACAAATTTCAAGAATAAGGCCTACTATATCTATTCAGTAAAATCACCATAGCAGATTTACGTTGGGACCTTTGAGCTCCCCAACCATGGATTCTTGGCCAGATTTGCAGGCCTTAAATCCAAGCAGAAAGCAGTTTATCCCTGTAACACATTTTACTATGGTACCTAGGGACATATATAGCCATGGTGGTCATTTCTGCAGTTCACAGGGTTCACAGCTAGGGAAGAATATTGAGGAGGTCTTCCTCTCAGCAGCCTGCATAGTACCTTCTAGTACTGTAAATGCTAGCTAGCAGAAAGGAAGCTTCCAGGGCCGCTTCCCATCTCACTACAAGTGTTCTGTGATTTCTCTTCCAGGATACCTCATCAGGCCTTTCTCTGGGCCCAGGGGGATCAAACTCAGGTTGTCAGGCTTGTATGGCAAGCATGTTCACTTGATGAGTCATCTCCTGAGTCCAACCATAAGTCTTGTTATTTAAAAATTATTCAGTTTAGTTTTCCCTGCCTTGCTCTACGCTGCCCAATCAGGCCAAGCCAGTTTCCTTTATTAACCAATGTTATTCACAGCATACAGAGGGGAATTCCACATCAAGTAGTTTGGCTACATCATTTTCACCCCTACCTCTCCACCTCCAATTCCTCTCATGTCCACTTCACTCTCACTCAAGTTTATGACCACTTACTATTTTTAGTTGTATTGTTTTTTTTCAAAAGTAAGCTGTCTTTTTCACTTAGATACCAATCCCAATTCCCAATCCGTCCCGTTCTTCCATTCCCTTCACCTTACCACCTACTGCACACCCACCCCCCAATTCTCAGAGGATCCAGCGCACATTGTTTTTGGGAACGTCCAAGAGCATTCTCACTTTATCTAGCCTGAGGAAGGTATCCGTCCAAAGAGAACGGGTTCCCAAAAAGCCAGTACCAGCAGTAGGGATAAATTCTGGTGCCACTGTCAGGGCCCTTTTGTCTTCCTCAGCCATACAGCTGTGTCCCACATTCAGAGGTTCTAATTTGGTAGTAATCTGGTTCCTTCCCTGTCTGGCTGGAGTTGGTGAGCTCCCAGTATCTGAGGTAAACTATTTCAGTGGGTGTCCCCATCATGGTCTTGACCTCCTTGCTCATATTTCACTTTGCCCTTTGTATGCTTTAAAGATTTGTCTATTTCTGTCCTTAGCTTACATCTCATGTAGGTTATGTATTGTTGAATGATACCTTTTTTTTTGTTTTGAGATACTGTCCCCCTAGTTAACCCAGAATGGTATGGAAGTTCTGATCCCCCTCCCTCACCTTCTTGAGTAGCCTAATGTGATTCCTTATGAGAAGCAAGAGGACAGGCAGTGTAAAGGGGGATCCAGGTGGTAATCAAGATTGAGGTTAAGTGTGCAAACAACCTTAATGAAAAGGTAAGGGAAATAAGGCATTCATGAGACTCCTGTCTGAGAGCATGGGACATAAAACCCCAGGCCGAAAGTGAAAGAATGAAGGCCATGAGGAAGACAATTAATGATGCGACAGAATGGATGGAGTGTAGTGATTGTTGAAGATGCAGGACTGTCTGGGCCTGAAAATGGATTGTGAGGAGAGAAGATAAACAGAAAAACTCATGATCAGGTTGAACATCTGTGAGACTGTGAAGAGCTTCGTATATGTGGTGATGGAGGAAGGTCATTGGTTAAATAAAAAGAAACTGCTTGGCCCTCATTGGTTAGAAGATAGGTGGGAGGAGTAAACAACAGAACGCTGGGAGGAAGAGGAAGTGAGCTCAGACTCCACAGCTCTCCTCTCGGGAGCAGACGCCTCAGAGAGAAGCCATGCTCCCAGCTCCCAGGCAGACGCACGCGATGAAGCTCTGAACCAGGAAGGACATAGGCTAGAATCTTCCCGGTAAGCACACCTAGGGGCGCTATACAGATGATTAGAAATGGCTAAATTAATATGTGAGAATTAGCCTAGAAGAGGCTAGATAGAAATGGGCCAAGCAGTGATTAAATGAATACAGTTTGTGTGTTGTTAATTCGGGCATAAGCTAGCCAGGCAGGCGGGGTGCTGGGGATGCAAGCCCGCCGCTCCTATTACTACAAATTTAACCAATGACCTTACTCCATCAATGTGGGACTCTGTGAAGGGTACTATATAAGAAGACCTAGGTGAAAATTGAGAAAGCCATAGGGAAACGAGGAAGTGAAAGCTTAGTCCAACAGTGAGCACAATAGAGAGAAAAGTCCCAGTCACTGAAGATGTAGTTTTCTAAGGACAGAGTAAGTAACCTGGAGATGGGGGACCCAGGTGCTACTCTGACCCCCACTCCTGACCCTAAAGCCATGCAGCATAACTCATACCTGCTGTACCCCGCTGCTTTTCTGACTCCACATGTAACAGTGGGCATGAGACTGGAGCTCCCCGGGGGAAAGAATTTGCCTTCAGAAGGCCTATAGGCCACTCGTACAACTTCTACAACCACTGCTTCTCTACCCAAAGCAGGGATAAAAAGCGTTTCTGCCTCTTCCATGCCTCAAATGTCACAGGGCACTGCCTTCTTGTGAGTGTCATGTCTGGCAAGGTAAGGGTCAGGCCTATTCCACATTGCTAACCTTGGTCCTTCCATCCTTCACTTTAGGGAACAGCATGGGCTCTTGCCTGCTGTGATCGCCTCAAAGAAAGAGCAGAGGACAAGGCTGAAGAGGCACCTGGATCAAGGACTGATAAAGAATATGGCTGTTGCCCCTAAATTCTACAAGCATGGCAAGAAGCTGGCTGGTGTAGCAGAAAGCCGCAGTGAGTGTCTTTGGTTAGGGAAGGAACCTGAATTTAGGTGGAGGGAACATGAGTAATTCTGTCAGCATCCCTGTCTTGAGATTGCAGTGGGACTGTTGGTAATTGCTCATCAAACCAATGTTAGGAATTAAATGCTTTGGAGAAATGTCCACATCCCTTGCTTATATTTTCTGTAGGTAGACATTTGTTGCCGAGTGGTAAGTTTGTTACTTTTATCACTGTCTTGCTACTTAGCCCTGAGTGTTCTCCTGCCCCTATTGAATCAGGCTCCACAGTGGCCATTCACTAGAAAAAGAAAGCAACCCCAGAGTTGGGAAAGAGGCATAGTGTGGTAAACCCTCCAAATGGGGCCGGAATATTTGGAAGGATGGTGTCAGTGAGGCTTATGTAAGCTGTGCCTGGTGTTTTACAGATGGGCAGGAGAGCACTGTGCACAAGAGGGAGGCCAGGTCCCACAAAGTTCCACAGGAGGTAAGGAGACTCTGGTGCTTATGGGAGGTGATTCCAGAAGCTCCTCCCCTGACCCTTTGTACTGTGTCCTAAAGTCTTGGGTTCCATCCCCACATCGGCCGTGATTTACCATGTGAGCTCAGGTTTAACTGCATCTTCCTGGATTTTAGTGTGAACTGAAAATTAAAATTAAAGGTAAGCCTCAATGATCTTCAAGGGCTTCAAGTTCTGACATTCTGAGTTGCTGTAGTCATCTGACAACATGTTCATCTCTCCTCTTTTCATGGTAGGCTGGGTACCCAAATTCCTACTATTGTCTCTACTCCGGCAGGGAAGTTCTCAGGGAACTCATATGCCTAGCCAGCAGAGAGAATGGGCAATTCTGCCCCATGTTCCAGTGAAATTGGAGCAGCAACCAACGATTTCTTTTTCCTGGGCACCTCGTGATCCATCTGTCAGGCCCAAAAGGTGAGTTGAATATGGCCCTAAATCCAGCTGTATCCATATTACTCCATGTTAAGCACTGTGGTTGGTGCCATGGGAGATTGGCAAATGAGAAAGGAGAAAGAGGAGAAGGAAGAAGAAATGTAATAGGAGAAGAGGAAGTGTGGAGGAGGAGGAGGCATCACCTCAGAAGGAGGAGTGAAGAGAAGGCACTTCGCCTTGAGAATTCCTAATCTTGAGGGTTCCAATAAGTGATTTCATCTTTCCAAGTCTATGTTTTCTGGTAGCCACTCCGGGACAACAGGCTACGTTCATGACATTGACAAGAGAAGTAGAAGAAGGTGTACCACATAGGAAGCCCTGAATGAGCCTGGGCTGTTGCTCCATATCACAACAGATGGATGTGAGAGAAGATTCGGTTGGAATTTGGGGTCATGATGGGGAATGCTATAGAGGCCTAAAGGAATGCTAAAGTCAATAGAGAAGACTTCCTAGAGAAAGGCCTGGCTTGTCCTTCATTGTGGGTTTCCCCTCTCATTAGCATCTCAGTAGGGGAGAGGGGAGAAAGACAGAGTCACAGAGCTTCCTGGGAAACAGACCTCCTCCACAGACCAGCATCAAGGTGCAGATCTGGTTCAATGTGTATGTTCACTGGCATATATGCATACATTACCCAATCAGCTAAGGTCACATTGAGTTACTGTCCAATGAGTTCAAATGCCTTGCACCCCACGTCTTGTGTGGGTATATAGGGGCAGTATGTCCTGGCAGTGTGTCTGCAGACAAAGGGCAGGAACCAGGCATCTCCCTGGGCTTTGATGCCAAATTAGAGAGTCTGCAGTTAGCTGGGACTCCATTATGAGTCGTCTAGCATTCCAGAGACACAGATCTGCTCATACAGTTAAGGGGGGGGGCATTAGCAGTTGTCACGGTCCCTGTCTGTTACTGACACCATTTGAACAGAGACTGACTTATCAATTCATAACCACTGTGGACTGGGAAAAAAAGGAAGCAAGAGCCAGTACCTGAAAAAGGAGGGGCTCCCATCTGTAGTAATAAGAGTGGCGGGGCTGCGTTCCCAGCACCCCGGCAGCCTGTCTAGCTTATGCCCCGAAATAACAACACACAAACTGTATTCATTTAATTACTGCTTGGCCCATTCTCTTCTAGGCTAATTCTCACATATTAATTTAGCCCATTTCTAATCGTCTGTGTGTAGCACCCCAAGGTGCGCTTACCGGGGAGATTCTAGTCTATGTCCATCCTGGGTCAGAGCTTCATTCCGGGAGTGGGGCATGGCGTCTCTCTCAGGCGTCTTCTCCTGAGAGCAGAGCTGTCGTGACTCTGAGCTCACTTCCTCTTCCTCCCAGCGTTCTGTTCTGTTTACTCCTCCCACCTATCCTCTAACCAATAAAATGGGCCAGGGCAGTTCCTTTATTAGCCAATGACCTTCCTCCATCATTTCCCCTTTTTCGGTTTAAACAAAAAAAAAAGGCTTTAACATAGCAAAATTACATATAACAAAACAGTTATCAAGTAAAAGTTACAATAATCTTTATCATAACTAAGGAAAACTATAACTATAACTAACTATTCTTAACTCCATCAAAGACTCCAGAAAGATATATTACCTAAGTAAACAAGAACTAAGAAACTTCAAACTCTAGAAATGACAAAGACATCTCGCTGCCTGGACAGTCACCCAAAGTTCTTTTGTACTGTTGGGGCATCCATCTTCAGCCTTCAGGCCCATGGTATCCAGCAGACATTTCCATAAAGCAGGAAAATTCAAAGTCAGTTCAGTCACTATCTGTTGTGTCCTGCAGAATGTCTTGCAGACTCTTTCAAAATGAATCAGGAACCCCGAAAGATCATTTCACCTTAGGCAAGTTCAGTAGTCCCCTCTCTGCGGGTTCTCTGTGTCCAGTTTATGCAATAGTCCAGGCAAGAGCAGTTTCTTGCCCAAATGGCTATCAAACTCCATAAGGTGCCTCTTCGATGCCCATCTTCCTCTTGAAGTAGATTGGTGCTGCCAGGAGCAGAGTGTCTCATTGTCATGAAAAGTCCTCAGTTATTAAAACATTAAATGTCCTATTCTGTAATATTTGAAAGACATGAAGAATATCTATCTAAACTATATCTCTATATATCTAGAAAATCTAACTAACATGACTACAAGCTTTACTATTATCGATGATTATCCATTAACAACCTATATTTCTTAATTATACAGTACATATTTAAATAAACTACACAATCACGATACCTTAATCAAAATCAGAAACACTTATATATATAACAAAATTGACCTTAAATCTCTATCAATAAAGCAAAATCTATACTAATGCAAATTATTCATACCTATATCATATCCCCCTTTAAATGTAAAAGAACGTTTATAAACCATATTTGGGAACATGGGCGCAGTTTTTTCTCTCCAAACTGCTTCCTGCTGAATGGGGGCGTCGTTAATTAGGTCTTTCATGGTATAACCTGTGTGCTAGTTTCATCTCAGTTGGCAGTTGAGCGAAGCAATTTTCTGAAGGTGTTCACACCAACCCTTCAGGAGGGCGTGGTCCATCATACCAAATCGGAATAGAAGAAATAAACAGCGTCTCATCCTCTGTGAAAACAAAATAAGAAACTCCTTTCCAAAGTATCATGTCCTTAGATCCAAATTTCAAAGCCAAGGCATCAAAACATCCATGTTGGATTAGCTCAGCAGCATCTACAAATAAATATCTTTTAGCAGCTGTTGGTCCTTCCTCAGCATTCAAACGATTCAAAGAGAGCATAATAGCATACAGTATCAAAATTCTCTGTATATTTTCCATCTTTGTGCAGCTTTGTTTTAACCTCTATTTTGTTTATTTTTACTTTTAACTCTTTGCTTTTTGAGACAGGTTCTCTGTATCTTTGACCTGAAGTAACTCTGTAGACCACGCTGTCTTAGAACTCTCAGAGATCCGCCTGTCTCTGCCTCCCAGGCATTGGGATTAAAGGTGTTTGCTACTACACCTTGAACTCACAGAGATCTGTTTGCCTCTGCCTTCTAGGCACTGGGATTAAAGGCGTGTGCTACCACACACAACAACTCTCTTCCTTTTTTTGTTTTTTACTTTTAAGAACTTTAAATTTTAGTCTGCATATATTTTTAACACACTTTAAACCATTCAGAAATTTTCTCTGTCTTTGAATCTCTCTTTACTGTATATCTCTCTTTTTCTGACCACATGAATCTTTAATTTACCAAGCAAGCTCAGTAGGACTAAAGGCGTGGCTTTGCCAGCTAGATCCAGTCCATTCCTTAGCTTTCCAGCCTCATGGCTGAGGTACTGGCTGTAGGCATGAACCGCCTGCGTAAAAGAGTCAGAGTTTGCCCTGGCAGGACAGCCCAGAAAGCTGGCATTTTTAAACGGCGCAGCTTTTTTCCTGCTATGGCTAAAAACTGAAAAGCATGTGTTCAGCTTTTCGTCAACACCGTTTAAGTGTTTCGTGGCAGAACCTCTTAATGAGCTGCAGGCTTTGCAGCTAAAGCTGAGTCAGGAAGCCTCTCTTAGATGCGGCGCTTGCTTGCCTCTAGCAAGCAGAGTAGAACCGAGAAATTGCTGCTACCAAGAAACCAGGCACAATGCTTTCATTTTGTTCTAGAATTACTTCCCAAGCTGTCTCAGGCTTTATGTGGAAGCAGTTGTCCCTTCGTGGTTGCCATATGTAATAATAAGGTTGCCATATGTAATAATAATAAACTCTTATTACTACACCCATCTTTCTGGCGGCTGTGCAGATTAGAGCATAGTCTCTTTGGGTTCTTTGTCATCTTCATTGCAGCACAGGGAAGAAAGATTTGGTAGAAGTTAGCATGTCAAGAAAAATATAGACGTTTTAAAAGGAAACAGGCCAAGAAGGTGGCTGGTTGAAAAGGACAAACATCTTGGAATCGTTCAGATTTCCCCAGCCTGGTTTGAAAACCCCTGGTCTGCCAAGTGTTCCAGTAGTAGGTTTCCACCAGAGGGTTTCATCCCCTGGCCTCTCCTCTCCTTGTTTCTAGATTTTCAAGTGCGACCCTGCAACCCAGTGCTACCCCTGGCCCTCTTCTTCTGCAGCCACAGGTCCTGGCAAAGTAGTGGGGTCCAGGTCCCTGGGAGGGAATGAGCTTAGTGAATGGGAAGAGCAAAAAAGCCTAGGGTGGGGGTGGGTGCTGGATGGAACTGAATACTTAAAGGGGCACCTGTGTTAGTGAGAGGAGGTGTGGTTTCCCAGATGCCATTATCTGATGCCATTTCCTTTGCAGGTCCCTAATGCCACCAAGCAGGATTCTGTTGTTGCTCTCTTAGAGTGGCAGAGGAAGCTGGAGGCTGCAGGGCCAACTCTCAGGATCCTTGTGATTCTGCCTCTCTGCAACATCGTGGCAGCATGCCAGGTAGCTGTCTTCTTCAAGATGGAGCCTGGGGTAGGGGTTGTTGGGAAATTGGAAGGGTTGTGGTGAACTGGTTGTGGTAATATGTGGAAACCTGGATTTGGACCTTCTGGATCAGGCATTTCAGATGCTCAGTCCAAGGTGGGAGATGGAAATCAGGGGCTTCTCGGTGAATCACCAGTTCTGAAGTGCTTTTGCTCAACAGCAAATGGCCTGACATGAAGTAAAAACAAAACCACCAGCACCACAGTGGCAACAAAATGTCCCTGTAGACTGAGCCCCCGTCCAAGGTGGCCAAGTCTTATTGGAGTCCAAGGGCATGTCAAGGGAAGGAATAGAACTAGGTGTAATAACTCGCAGCCCATGGCAATATCTTCAGTCCACTGGAGACCGAGGAAGACTGGGAAGACATGTATGGAGGATAAGGGTCTGCAATGGAACGAGATCATGCTGGCGTCTTCAAGGCATTTCCCTTGTAGCTTGGATGCTTTCCAGTTAGAATGTTTCCCGACATGCTCACTGCTCCATGTGGTCACTGCTCAGAGGAAAATGGCATAGTTGGGAGGCTGGACGGGAAGGCTGAGCCCCAATGAGAAGCCTAAATAAAAACCCTGATGAAGTGTGTTAGTGGGAAGCCACTTTGGGTGGTGGGCATCAAAGAACAAAGGACAGTGAAGGAAGCTGGAGACCTAGCTTCTCACAGAGGTCTGGCAGAGTGGGTGATGCAGGCTGGGTCAGAAAATATGGGGGAGGGGTGTGAAGAGACAGTACATCTCTGAGAAGGGGAGAATCCTATCTGAAGACCTCAGGATTGACAAAAATAATGGTGACCCTGACTGAGAAACGCTAGAGCCAGGATCAGAGATATGGGGGGTGTTTGTTTCTGGTTTCAGTGACAAATCATAGATTCGGTGTGGCACCAAAGTGTGTGGGCTTACTGCGTGGAGACGTATGTAACCTGACTCTGACTTTTCCTTTTATTTTCAGGTAGTGATGGAGAGAGAGGACCACAGTCTCCTAGTTCCTGCCTGCCACCAAAGCCTGCCAGCTCTGTCTCACTTTCTGGACATCTGGAGTGCATGTCCTACTTGACCTGAGAGCCGGGAGTAGGAGGCCTCTCTAGAGCACTGCCTGTGTGGTATCCTGTTTCATGTCTAAAATGACTAACATTTGTAAATTGTTTATTTTTTTTTTTTTTTTTTTTTTTTTTTTTTTTTTTTTTTTTTGGTTTTTCGAGACAGGGTTTCTCTGTGGCTTTGGAGCCTGTCCTGGAATTAGCTCTGTAGACCAGGCTGGCCTCGAACTCACAGAGATCCGCCTACCTCTGCCTCCCGAGTGCTGGGATTAAAGGCGTGCGCCACCACCGCCCGGCTAAATTGTTTATTTTTGAAACAAGTTCTCATGTAGCCAGCCTGGCCTCGGATTCAGTATATAGTTGACAATGACTTTGAACTCCCAATCCTTCTGCCTCCACCTCCCAAGTGCTGGGACTACAGGCATGTACCACCATGCCTGCCTTTTTAAAATTATTATTTTAAGTGTTAAAGAATTTTATAAACTTTCAGGCCTTTTTATGATATAGGGAGTCTACTTGACTGAAGATCGATGTTGAACTATATCCATTATTTCTTTGGAATAATGGTTTTTTATGATTCTTAGAAAACCAGTATTTTGTGATCCAATGTGATCGATCAATGGGATTCTTAGTGGGTTTGCATCTCAGCGTTTTTATTTGTCCTGTGATTGTATATGCACTGGCACACGCCTGTTTGTAATCATCCATGTGGAATCCTGAAGATTTGTCACTGTGTCTAGGCATATGTGTGTGTGAAAAAATAATAATAAACATGATGTAGGCACTGAACAACACGAGCTGTTTTTAAACAGTGTCAGACAAATATCACAGAGGATTGTTTACCTTCACCAAGCCCCAAGTGAACAAATACTTTAGTTTTTTAAATTAATTATTGGGTGAAATTTCAAAACTTGATGCTGCAGACATCAGTCACATGGCCTTCCCAAAAATGGCCATAATAATTTGTTACCCAGCGTAATACATCAGGTAATTGATAGGAATTATAGGAACACTTTTTTTTAGAAGCCGAATAATCTTTTAATTTATAAAACATTTCCATTTTATTTTGTTTATTTTCTTCTTCTTCTCCTTCTTCTCCTTCTCCTCCTCCTCCTCCTCCTCCTTCTTCTTCTTCTTATTATTATTATTTTATTTTTTTTTAAAGATTTCTGTCTCCTCCCCGCCACCGCCTCCCATTTCCTTCCCCTTCCCCCAATCAACTCCCCCTCTTTTGTCAGCCTGAAGAGCAGTCAGGGTTCCCTGCCTTGTGGGGAGTCCAAGGACCTCCCACTTCCTTCCAGGTCTAGTAAGGTGAACATCCAAACAGACTAGGCTCCCACAAAGCCAGTACATGCAGTAGGATCGAAACCCATTGCCATTGTTCTGGACTTCGCAGCAGTCCTCATTGTCCGCTATGTTCAGTGAGTCCGGTTTTATCCCAGGCTTTTTCAGACCCAGGCCAGCTGGCCTTGGTGAGTTCTTGATAGAACATGCCCCATTGTCTCATTGTGTGGGTGCACCCCTCGCGGTCCTGAGTTCCTTGCTCGTGCTCTCTCTCCTTCTGCTCTTGATTTGGACCTTCGGGTTTCAGTCCGATGCTCCACTGTGGGTCTCTGTCTCTGTCTCCTTTCATCAAGTGATGAAGGTTAATATGCAGGAGGATGAGTACATGTTTTTCTTTGGGTTCACCTTCTGATTTAGCTTCTCTAGGATCACTTATTATAGGCTCAATGTCCTTTATTTATGGCTAGAAACCAATTATGAGTGATTACATCCCATGTTCCTCTTTTTGGGTCTGGCTTACCTTACTCAGGATAGTGTTTTCTATTTCCGTCCATTTGCATGCAAAATTCAAAAAGTCATTGTTTTTTACTGCTGAGTAGTACTCTAATATGTATATATTCCATACTTTCTTCATCCATTCTTCCATTGAAGGGCATCTAGGTTGTTTCCAGGTTCTGGCTATTACAAACAATGCTGCTATGAACATAGTTGAGCATATACTTTTGTTGTATGATAGGGCCTCTCTTGTGTATATTCCCAAGAGTGGCATTGCTGGGTCCAGGGGTAGGTTGATCCCGAATTTCCTGAGAAACCGCCACACTGCTTTCCAAAGTGGTTGCACAAGTTTGCATTCCCACCAGCAATGGATGAGTGTACCCCTTTCTCCACAACCTCCCCAGCAAAGGCTATCATTGGTGTTTTTGATTTTAGCCATTCTGACAGGTGTAAGATGGTATCTTAAAGTTGTCTTGATTTGCATTTCCCTGATCACTAAGGAAGTTGAGCATGACCTTAAGTGTCTTTTGGCCATTTGAACTTCTTCTGTTGAGAATTCTCTGTTCAGCTCATTGCTCCATTTTATAATTGGGTTGATTAGCATTTTACAGTCTAGTTTCTTGAGTTCTTTATATATTTTGGAGATCAGACCTTTGTCAGTTGTGGGGTTGGTGAAGATCTTCTCCCAGTCAGTGGGTTGCCTTTTTGTCTTAGTGACAGTGTCCTTTGCTTTACAGAAGCTTCTAAGTCTCAGGAGGTCCCATTTATTCAGGATGCCCTTAATGTCTGTGCTGCTGGGGTTATACATAGGAAGTAGTCTCCTGTGCCCATGTGTTGTAGAGTACTTCCCACTTTCTAGGAACACTTTTAAAGCCTGAATATTCTGAATCTTCGATTGATGTTCCAAACACATGCACTGCAGGCCTTAACAGGCAGACAGCTAGCGAAGTGAACATAACTTGATCTGGACTTTTTATTGTACCTTCCTTCCTTCTTTGCCTTATTTAAAAAAAATCAGGGTCTCAGTATGCAGTGCAGACTGGCCTTGAATTCACTGCATACCTGAGATTTGCCTAAAAAGACCTTGTGGTGATTTTCCTGCCTCAGCCACTCAAGTGTTAATATTCTAGTACACTTCTCCTTGCCTGGCTTCCTGCTTCTGTTTCCAATGACACCTGTGTGATGATGATGCTATCCAATCACCACAATTCCTTTGTCTTCAGAGGCTCTGAAGAGTCAGGATTCTTATATTCTCTATCTGATGGCAGAGGAACAAACATGTAAAATCAATGAGGATTCAGAGAATTAATCTGGACTGAAGCCCATCTCATACCCCCTTTCTTCCCATGATCCCCCAGTTCATTATCCTCCAGTGACAAATGACTGTGTTCCCATGGTCCTGCAGTAGGGTTTGGTCCAAGCCTTGCCTTGGTTCCACAGTTGAGCTTGGGGAAGGGGAGGGTATGTTTTTGTTGAAGGATGTGGCACAAGGAGAGGGAAGACAACAGAAAAAATACAATACACATTTGAGGAAGGATAGAAACTCAGTATTTGGGCCCTTTCATTTTTTGTGAGGCCTATTGCCTTTCTTTCAGGGTTTTCAGACCTGACAGTCTGCCCTCCAGTGTTTTATAATGAAAGGGTCTCTATCTGGCATATTTTAGTTCTCTTTGGATATCGGTGCAAATGTTCAGTGTTAAGCTTTTTGGTTTGTCTCCCTTTGTCATGTACTGTCACAGTTCAGAGTCTAAAAATCCTCACCTCTGCTATATTTTGATTCTCGTACGTTATATGACGTTATTGGTTAGGTCTGAACATACCCATCATTGCAGAGCATCTCTAGAGTGGGTCAATTTGAACAAGAAGTGTTAAAGTAAAAGAATATATGCTGTTATGCAAGCCAAGCATAGGCTTTCTAGGGGGAGGGGTGTTTAAGGGGAATTCTCTAGGTTGTCTCATTTGCTGATTACACAGTTCCAATATGTCAGTGAACTCCCAAGTTGGAGATACTTTTTTCACACTAGTACTTTAAGTTACTGCTTGAACATGGTCAGTAGTGAGATATTAACAATAATTAGAGATTAGAGAATTTGGATGCACATAGTAT